TAACCTTTCAAGTACAGTCGCAAACGTGTGGATAAAGTTTCCCACACTTCCAATTTCAAGACTTATAACAATGTATCAAAGCGTATCAATAATTTTGGCTCAATTTATTTTGTAAAATCTAATTCTTACTAGCTGCAATATTAAAAATATAGTGTCTCTGGACAGGTGAAGATAAAAACAATAAAATTTATTTTTTTGGGGTTCAACTCTGCTGAATTAGAGACTAATTTCTAACATAATTTTAGTTAAAAAAAATCAAATATGCCTTGGGAATTAAAAAAAACACATTTTTTTTACTTTTTACTAAACAATTATACCGGCTACGCCAGAACTCGCGCCCCAGACAAAAATGCCATTTAAGGTAAGATACCAGGAACATGGAAAAAATGTTAAAAAAATTTTATCTATAAAAATTTCAAAGTTATGAGAAAAATAATTTTCCAAGTTTTTTTGCTACAGGCTATGAGAAGAGGAAACAATGAAGCTGTATCCTAAATTGTAACTCTGTTTTATGTTATTTGTGGCTTTTATTGGCAAAATTTTTGTACCTTTATTAAATAATTGTAAAAAAAAACATATAAAAAATCATCAGTATCATTAAATAGATATTAAAAAATGTCAAATGTCAAAAAATAAATGTCAAAATTTTTTACTTGAAATTTTTCTCTAGGGCGCGAGTTTTGGCGCACCCTGTATGTATTGTCCAATGATTTTGAAATTTGGTATAGGGGTCTAGATGTTGATTATAAATAACTTTTAAATAAATATATTTTTTGAAAATCTCCAAGGCACACTTATTTTTTTTAAACTAACATTATGTTAGAAATTAAGCAGGGCTGAACACTAAAAAAATTAAATCGAGAATATTTTATCTTTCACAAAAGTCGTTTCACCCATACTGGCAACTTGCACACGACAGATTTAGAAAACTTAAGTTCTTTAACAACTGCAATAAAATAACAAACTTACCGTCCAGCATCTTAACTCTCAAAGTTCTCAATTTCTTTCGATACTCGACAACATCGCCGTTTCGTAAGATGTAATATTCCAAGTGCCTGGCCGGTTCTAACCAAACTCCAGTCCTGCTGTCCTCATCGGTCAGGAAAAGACCATAGTCTCTGGCTGCGAAAAAATAATCATGTACGTTATACCATGTTTATAGTTAAAGAAAGAAAACACTTACGATTTCCCAAGTTTTCTTCCGTACATTTTTCTCTGATAATTTTACAGGCATCGTAGACCGTCGTTGAAGGATCAAAGACGATGGTTTTGGTAACATTGGTGTCGACAATGTGGATTTTAAGTGACAGGGACATCTGAAACCAAAAGTTACAAAATGTATATTTTGTTAAAACTTCCCCTCATATTGACACAACACAACGACCTCCATAATTTAATAAAACCCATTAGAAATCTCCCTTCTTTCGCATCTTACGTCAAAGTCACGAAATCTAACCAAACAGCCGGTCTCGTTTGAGCGACTCCCCTGTCATCGTCGCTGTGTAATTTCGCTGTTTATGACCCGGAGACCGCACTGGTACGAGTGTAACCCCAATCAATCCATACACAAGTTAAGAAATAAGTCAATAAACTGGTGGAGAGAAGTAGAACATGTCACATAATTGAATCATGCACGACACAGCAAGCGAGAGAATGGGGGTGCCTCTCTTACAAGAAGTGGGGGATGCTGGGTTGCTAGGCGACCGTAGCGTCCGACTAGCCGGCGTCTCTTCGGCGTCGCTCCACACCGGCGACGTCAATCGATAGGCCGCGAACACGTGTTTCAAAACAGTGAAATTAGGTCTCGCGTGTTGCAAAAGGACAAAAGGGCCACTCCGGACCTTAAGCCACGGGAAAAATAAGCATCAAAGATGAGGTGGATGATCGAAGAGAACATTCAGAATTTTTTGACAATCCACAAAAATGTTTCGGTAGGGCTAAAGAGACTTGAGATTTATGAAGGCATTAAAGGGGATAATTCGAATTTGAAATTAGCAATTTGAATATTGAAAAGAACTTATTCTAAAGYGTTGTTGAAGGAGATTTTTAATTTTAGTAAAACAAAATGAACATTGATAACATAATTCAGAAACCGCAATTTAGTAATTTCTTGAAAAAGGTGAC